CACACGTGGCATCATCTATTCCAGACTCCCCAGCCCATGACACGTGGAAGAATGCCGGAATGAGTCGCCCTGGGGGCATTTTCTCTGAGGAAGCTAGAAAGGCAGAGCCTCCTTAAAAGTAAAATTGGATGAGAAAATTATTAGTTTCACAAAAATAAACCAAAAAAAGCCTCAAAAATAGCAAAATAAGTGATTAAATGGTGTGTTAAGCATCTTCAGAAAGCAATATCAGCAGATGAAGATTCAGAGGGAGGCAGAGTCTCTTTTGCCTCTTTTAGTAATTTTGATGTGTGTTTTGGTGATTTTTTGTAGTTTTTTTTTATATGTGTGTGTATGTTTTTTCTAAGTTTGGGGTCAGTACGATTTATTATTATTTTAATTTTTTTTAAAGAAATAAATAATTTTATTCAGCAAGGATGCATTAAATTGATCGAAAGTGGCAGTAAAGACATTTATAATGTTACAAAAAATTCAGTTTGAATAAACATTGTTCTTCTGAACTTTTTTTTCATCAAATAATCCTAAAAAGTCACGATTTCCACAAAAATATGAAGCGGTAATTTTTAATCATTTTTGCGTTAAATTGATCAAAAGTAAAGACATTTATAATGTTATTAAAGTTTTCTGTATAGTTTTTATTGTTATTTCAGTGTTAGTTATTTTAGTACATCAAATTAAGCAAAATTGAAATGAGAAATGTTATTTTTATGTTTTCATTTGTTTAAAATTATTTTATTTTAGTGTTTATTTTGTTAGGTAAAAAAAATGATTTTTTTTTTTTTATTAAAGTTTTACTTATATATAATAACACTAAACTGATACTGTGTATGATCCTTCAGAAATCAGTCTAATATGCAGATTTGCTGCTCACAAAAATGTTTTGATTATTATCAGTGTTGAAAACAATTTAAAAAATCACTATTATTGATGAATAGAAAGTTCAAAATAGCAGCATTTATTTGGAAAATATTTCATGACATTATAAAGGTCTTTAATGTAATTTTTGGTTAATTTAACGTGTCTATGATTAAAATATATATTAATTTCTTTAAAGTTTTTACCAGTTAAGTTTTGAATGGTATTGCAAGTAGTGCATATTACTACATTACAGAGTCTGATTGTTGAAATTATGGGTCCATCTCAACAACAGGCTAAAAAATATAAAGATTTGTTTGTAGCTCTATTAAAATGACTCGTAAGCCGTGTTGCTGAAGGGGACGGTGAATGCTGAATCACTGGGGTTCATCTGGGGTTTGAATCTCCAGTCTTTGTGTGCTTTAAGCGTAATGCCACACCACCACAAAACCTAGATATCCATCTACAGACATCTCCATATAAAGGACGTACAGCTTTTAGATCCTCAGAGCAAACAGACAGACCATTAGCAATTCTGAAACAAAATGTAGATATTTTGTTACAGGCGCCAGACAGACACACGGATCACGTTGCCGTCAAAGCTGCTGGATGAGCGCTGCATGAATGCATGGCATTCAGAGGTGCTGCACTTAAACAACTTTTATTAGCTTTTTTTGTTGGAGGGAGCACTTTATACTGTATTATGAGTGTTGATATTTTATTGCAAAATGATGTGCTTTTGCTGAGTAAAGGAGTGTACAGCCTAGAAAGACAAATGCACTTGAAATGGACTTGGCTAACATGAAATCATAAATACAGTTTTGTGTGGAAAAGCAGCTTCACAACTAAAATACTGTTTGCCAAAGTTACTTATTCTCACTTCAGACAGTCAGAAACTGATCCAGATGCAGTTTTTAGTAAAGATGGAGCTCCAGTCGGCCCTGTTATGAAAGTTTGTTCTGTTGAAGTGCAAATGAAGGGATGGTGTCTCACTATTGTGTCTCACCCAGTTATAGCAGAAATCACTACCGCAAGACCAACAGCAATCTGTGTTTTGAATGTGAGTGTGCTGGTGTCAACTCTAAACTGTTTAACTTGCTTAACCATCGAGCCTTGAACTATCCAGAAAGAGCATGCTTTTGAGTCCGCTTCACCAATCATGTCAATAGGTGAACAACACGGCTGTTCGTAATTGTTCAGAATGATTAGTCAACTAGGCAAAGTTTAGATTTCTATTTTTAACTAATTTATTTATTTCTTTTTAGCAGTACAATGTAGAGATGCAACTTCATAGGAAAATACAATTCAGTGGGAAAAATACAATTTGTATCCATCCATCTATTTTTCCATTTTATTTATTTAGTCTAATAAAAATAATTGTGCATGTTTATAGAAATTAAGCAATGTTGTCTAATTATAATCCGTGTATTCTCCAAACCTCTTGTCCTGTGCAGGGTTATGGGGATGCTGAAGCCTATTTCAGATTTTTTTTTTTTTGTGCAATAAAGAATTCTGTTTATAAATATAAGATTTTGCCTAATTATCATCCATCCATCCATTTTTGCATTCATTATTATTATTTTTTGTGCAATAAAGATAATTCTGTTTATAAAAATAAGATTTTGTCTGATTATCATCATCCATCCATTTTTGCATTTATTTTATTTTTTTATTTTATTTTTTGTGCAATAAAGATAATTTTGTTTATAAAAAATAAAATTTTGCCTGATTATCATCCATCCATCAATTTCTTTTCATTTCGTCTCATTTTATTCAGTTTCACTAGTAGAAGACTGTGTTTGGTATCTGTATATTACCAAAACATTTCTCAGTGTTGGTTGGGCATGACCCTAAATTCAATAACATTTCCCTAAAAACACACGTTCATGCTGGTCTCTGTGTGTTTCGGCAAAGATGCTGAGTTTCTGGAAATAATCAGTCAGTGCATGCTGTTCTCTTGTCTCTCTTATTTTCTGTCTCAGTCTCTCCGCTTGTCTCCATTTATATCCGTCTCTCTCAGCACGCATGGTCCAGTTTTGCGCCGCGCACTCCTCCTTTGTTACCCTGACAACCGCGATCCGTCCCGTAGGTGCTCCGGGGATTTGGCCAGGTCTTGCTTTCACACTCGCGTCCTCCGAGACTCTTCCGATTCAGAAACATCACCGGCGACACGTTACCGGCTCATGATTTCCCATGCCGAGATGAAAGCGCCGTGGCGTTCTGTAATGGTTTTTCATATTTAGAGCCGTAGTGAGTTAATTGCAGAGGGAGGCAGGGGAGAGTTTGGGTTCCTGTGGAAACTTGGATGCTTGGATGTTTTTGCCCTTTTTGCTTTTTTGTTTCAGATTTTCCCCTCCGTTCTTTCTGTCCTCGAGAAGTTCAAATGCAGTTCAGTGTTTTGGGTTTGATCCATCTCATTCCTCGGTTGCTCCAGGTGGCCTAGTGTGATCCCAGAATGATTTCAGACCGCTAATGTCTGCATCCGTGTGTGTTTTCATGGGCAATTTCCTACCAGCTCTTGATTTACTAGGGTTTTTTTTCCTTTTTGAGGTAATATGCTTTCCTTTAGATAAGGAAAGCGGCCCGTATTTCATTTGCAGGTATATTTGAAGCTCAATGGCACATCTTATTGATAGTGAAACCGAACAAAGACATCTTTGCTTCTCAAAAGGGAATTTCCATTCAGCTCAAAAGCGGCCAGAGAATCGGTTTTCCTTGGAAAACACAAAAGCTCGGTTCCACGAGCTGCCCACGTAGGCAGGATTTTAAGGCATCGAAGATGCATTTTTGACCTCAAAAGACTGTGATTATGCTGAGACACCAGTGCATGTCTGCTTTGTGGAGAGCACAACCCCATAATGCACTGCGACATGCTCACTGTCTTTTAGTCCACCAAAGATGGCAGATGAAGTGCGAGAAATGTTGATTGCTAATATATTATTTTCAAGCTCAAGCTAATTTAAAAGGGACTATGTTGTATTTGTATGTGCTGTGTATTATTATTATTATTGTTGTTGTTGTTGTTAATATTATTACAGTAATAATTTGAATAATATTTTTTTGTTTGTTTGTTGTCATTATTAATTTAAACGTATTAAATTATTTATTTGTGCAATAATATAGTTATTGCTATAAAAGTAGTAATTAATAATTAATTAATAAAAAATAATCAAGTATTAATATTATAGGAATAGGTGTAGTTGTTGTTATTATTATTAATTTTAACTAAATTTCGTTTGATTTATTAGTATAATATAAAAAATATAATTATTGCTATAATAATAATAATAATTATATATAAGAATAGGTGTTGTTGTTGTTATTATTATTATTATTAACAAACACAACAATAAAAATAATACATCTAAAAATAAAATGTTTACGTTTTATATAAAATAGTATTACATATATGGATGTATATATGATGTATATGATATATGTAAAAGCGAATGTTATTAAAACTATTTTCTCCAGTATTTGTGTCTATTATTATTATTATAATAATAATATTAATAAATAATATTATTTTTATTTTTATTATCTATTTTGTGCTTATTGGTCTTGTCATTACCACAGCTACATTCTAAAAGCAAATGTTATTGAAATCATGCACTCAGTTTTCTGTGGGTGTCATGGTGCCTATGTAGCATGCTTGAAGTTGGTTACTTGTGAGGGTCCATTTCAGTTAGGATGCTGCCTATACAGCTGCATATGTAGACAGTAGATCATGTATATGCAATACTCTATTATGGACTATATTATTGTAAATAGATTATTTTTAGGATAGAATATAGATTGTGTGGCTTAGTGATTACATTTCCTGTCTGGCAAGCCAAAGGTTTAAGGTTCAAACTCTAGAAGTAGTGTTCTGCTGTGTGCTAAAAAGCATGTGCTAAATTCATCATAATGTCATGTAATTTGCAACACTATTTCACCGAGGCTGATTTTTGGCTTTGATGAACTTAGGCAATGTATAAAGAATATGGATTGGAGTGTTATGGCATATGATTGATCTGTTTTCGCTGAAAACGAATACTCTTTTGGGGTCGTTTATCTGACTGGTATATGTGCGTAATCTACATGAGCAGTTAATGACGCTTTTACTCATTGGGGAGTGTGATAAACAGCAGGTGTTGATGTTAAAGGTGTGTGTTGCGTGCGTTTTATTGCAGGCAGCTTCAGCAGCAACAGCAGGCCGAGCTGGAGGTTCACCAGAGAGACGGACTGACTGCTTATGACCTGTCACAGGTGAGCGCGCACACACACACACACTCTCTTTTCTCTCAGTCCGTCATTTAATTTTCTAACCCTCACAGGTGCATTACTCTCTTTAGCTGGTGTAGTACGTATAATTTATCCTCCTTCATTTTATATGCAAGTCCCTCTTAAATCAGTGTCACAGCTGAAGCTGTTTTAGATTTATACTTCAAACTGAATATCAGCCAATGAAGCTCCCAGAGGAGCATTTTATTCTCCAGAAGTGCTGTTTAATAGCTCCAGAGACTTACTGGAGTTAACACGGTGTGTTTCATTGGCTTTGTCTTTGATAATTGTTGTCATACTATATATACGATATACTCTGTACTCGATAGAGTTATGAAATGAATGAGAATAGCACCTCAGATGATTTGGTCTTCATTTGATGAGAAGTGTTAGAGTTCATATTGAGATCTGTGATGTTTCTCTAAATCTACAAAAACTGTACACCAGTTTTTCCGTTTTTAAATAAATAATAAATGGGGGAAAAAAAGAAAATAAGTTTGTGCTAAAAAACATAAAATATTTGATTTGTTTAACTGTATCCAATTAATTCTCCAAATCATTTGTCCTGTGTATGGTTGCAGGGATGACTATTGCATCATCTAAATTATTATTATTATTTATTTATTTTTTCATTTACTTTTATTTTAATGAATTTAATTTCTCAGGTGGTTCTTTTTAGAAGAAGTCTCCATTTTGTTCTCTGTTTAATCTCATTGCTGTCTAGGAGAAACCGTTGATATATTGAGATATTACATCCATTTTTTTTTCTTTTTCACAAGCAGTAGCCTGATCTTCTCCTTTAGCTTTTCTGTTTTGTGTCTCAAAGTTGTTTTATTCATTTGACACCCTTGAAAAGGTTCATTCAAAGTCATTTGTATACATTTTAAGAAAAAAAATTTCTTAAATATTTTATTTACATTAAAGTTAATACATTAAAGTTATTAGAATTGTAATTTTAGCAACCCAAGTATGGTTTTTATAATGAAAATATGCAAAGAAGCTGGTGTGGCATTAAAAAAACAAACATAGTAGACATCTAGTAAAATACATTCTTTCTATACTAATAAGGAAAAAAGGAAACAGTTATATTACAATATTATATATTGTACACTGTTTCTGTTGCTCATTTGATTGTCATTTGCAATGCTTCATGGGATGTGTATTTCATTGTCTCATAAAATAATCTAAAGTCAGCATGAAATCAAAATTAAACATTTTATGCATGCAACAATTCATCCATGCATTTATTTTTACTTTTTTCAAATTGTCATAGCTTGCTCATCCTATGCTCATTTTATGACCTATACAAGCGAATTGCATTCATTTCTGCCTCTATCCCGGTATGCAATGCTCACTGTTTACATTACAATCAACAAACGAATGAAGTTCCTCCCCCTTTTTTTAATTCTTGTTTGTTAAGTTAGAAATAAAGTCTTTTGCAACTCCCATTTCATGCCAAATTTAGGTCTGTTTTCCTGATTTTCAAGTACTTGTTTGCTTCAAATCAGAGTTTGTAATGTTTTAATTAATCTCAAAACCACTGATTTCATTCATGGCTCAGGACTCTTCATTTTTTTAAATCCTAATGGATGAAATGAATGAAAAAATATATATTTTCCAGTGCAAAGTGTGAGGTCACTGTTGTGCGCTTGATGCTTTGTGACAAGTGTTAGGATGAGATGCATGCTGGAACAGCATTGTATGTTACTGTGGCTAATGACTGATAAATGCGATAGTGAATCTGCGTAACTGTAGTCGTTTCAGCCGTGGAGCGTTAACTCCCTCTCTGAGGATCTGTGCTATAAAAATAGGCCATAGTTATGAGGTGAAGTCACACATTTGGAATATGCCCTCCATCTTTATCTTTCTTTGACAACTTTTACAACTTAACACACATTTGCTCTGAGTTATAAGTGTTAATTTGGTTATGTTATATCATATGTTGTTTTTGTTAAAGAGGTCATTTGTGTCAGTCTTAATAAAGCAGAGAGGATTGTTTGTTGAAAACAGATGACATCTCACACACGGGATGTTGTGTGTTTACAATCTGTGAGTGTTTAACGCCTGTCTGCAATTTAGAAAGTGTTAGAAAGTGACCGTCATTATTGATTCCTGTGTTTGTCCTTACAAAACAAAAATATATGGAAAATAATATAATGCGATTATATTAAATAATACATTTCCATATATGGGAAACTAGTGCTTGTAATTTTCAATACACTGCAGTATATGCATAAGTCATGCTTGATACATATAAAAATATAAAGAAATGAAGACAAAAAAACTGCACTACACTTTTGCATGTACACTGTTAAGAATGATATGGTCAGTAAGTCATGGCAACTTATGTTTTTTATGCGTTTTATGACATTTAACTTGATTTTTAAGTCGTTTTAATGTAATTTAAGTTTGAAATGACTTGTACAACCAAGTTGACTATACTTAAAACTTTTAAAAAAATCTTTAATTTTCAATACACTGCAGTATATGCATAAGTCATGCTTGATACATATAAAAATATAAAGAAATGAAGACAAAAAAACTGCACTACACTTTTGCATGTACACTGTTAAGAATGATATGGTCAGTAAGTCATGGCAACTTATGTTTTTTATGCGTTTTATGACATTTAACTTGATTTTTAAGTCGTTTTAATGTAATTTAAGTTTGAAATGACTTGTACAACCAAGTTGACTATACTTAAAACTTTAAAAAAAATGTGTGTATATATGTGTGTATATACAGTACATACATATATGTGTGTGTGTGTGTAATATATATGTATACACACACACACTACATATGTGTTCATATATTTATACACACCGTACCATATATAATTGCATGTACATCTGTTTATTATTAAGTGTATTATTAAATATGCAATAATATAAGTAAATATATTGTCACACATTTTTCAGTATGAGAAAAACTTATCATACGTATATTATTCAACGTATACAATATATTGTAATATATAAACACATAATTCTAGATATTTTCATTATACAATACATTTTATATACTGATTGTTAATATGTAGGGAAATATATTTTCTTTGTGTAAAGGCCATTGCTGGCAATTTGAAGGATTTCATACTTTCTGTAAAGTTAGGTTTGTGTTCATTGTGGCTTTTATTTCATTTCTTATTTTGCATTTATTAGCATTCAGTTTTCTTGAGTTGAAATGCCAATCACAGACAGATCCGCTCTTGTTGATGTCCACAGGTGCCGGTTGCCAGCATCCCAGCCGGCATTCACGAGGCGGGCAAAACCATCGACAAAACTGATTCACTGTTCTCGCAGGAGAGAGACCCACGCTTCAGCGACATGTACACGGGCATCTCTGGATGTATGTTCATACAGATATTACATCTGACTAGCACCGCATCACGCACTGATTTCAATCTAAACATGCAATTTACTGTAATTTCACTTAATGTAATTACAAAACCCGCACATGTCTGCCAGCTCGAGTTTGTACGCTATTTAATGCTTGATATGAAGTGTATACAATCTGTGATTGGTGCATTTGGTAGATATTACGACAACCTTCCGAAATTCCAGCGTAAATACATGAAGTCCAGATTTCTAGCTGGTCAAAGCCAGTTGTTTAGGGTCATTAGCTGGTTCAAGCTGGGCAATTCTGATAAGTTTGCATGCCTTTGCTCTGTAGTTTGACTCTGGTCAGAGCTTAAAGTTCTCTGGCACCGTGCTGGTGTTGTGCCCATTTTCGACCCCTGCCAAATTATTACCCCCCTCATTGAAATCGCTACCTGATTGCCTAATCCTAACCCCTCCCCCACACCTAACCCTAAACCTACCAATACTAGGGGGGTAGTAATCTGGCGAGGGTCAGAATTGGGCACAACACCGGATCTCCGGCTTGCAGCATTTGGCTACGGAAAAAAATAATCCTACATTAAAAAAAAACTTGTTGATATCACTTTCGAGTCCATGAGTTTGCCAACCAATGGTATGAGAGGAGCACAGCTTTCACTCTCAACCAAACTAACATTACTAGCCAATCAGAATTTTTTGCTCTTATAAACACGAGATGCGCATAATAGTATCCAATTGCAGAGTCGCAGCCCTGATGAATGGAGAAGCGCGACGCGTTGAAAAAGCTGCCAGGCGCAATGGTCAAAGATGTCCATCTAGCGCATATTTAGATAGAAAAACGAATTAAAAAGCAGCGGAGCTTTGTAAACAGCTAAGAGTAATCATGTCATCTCCATAAGAACGATATGATCGCCAGAACAAATTTACCGGGATTTTTGAAAAGGTCCTGTTCACACATGATCTATAATGATAACTTACCGGTAATTTACCAGTAAAGACTGTAACTTGTCTGTGAAAGGGGCTAAACTCTTCCTCTGCATATGCTGTGAATTTGAATTGCTTAACGTTCATCTTGGAAAACAGTGTGCATTATTTCACTAGATTTGCAATGTAAATAATTTATAAACCTTTGCCAACACAGGAGAATACATCAACCTATGTCTAAATATGCCATGTATTGTATATCGCGTTTTAAAAATAAAAGTTTCTGAGTTTACATGTGACCAAATATTAAAATTTAATGGATTTAAACATTGTTTAATCGCGCTGTAAAGTGAAACGTCACCAGGAGGAGGAGAACTGGCCCTCGACTAAGCCTGGTTTCTCCCAAGGTTTTTTCTCCATTCTGTCACCGATGGAGTTTTGGTTCCTCTGGCTTGCTTAGTTGGGGACACTTATTATCTAGCGATATCGTCAACTTGATTGCACAGATTCTATTTAAACTGAACTGAGCTGGATGATGACACCACTGAATTCAGTGATGAACTGCCTTTAACTGAAAATTGAGTGTTTACTGTTGTCCTTTTGCATTATGGACACACTATTTTCCTATTTGATACTGTAAAGTTGCTTTGACACAATCTGTATTGTTAAAAACGCTATATAAATAAAGGTGACTTGATAGTATTAAAATATTGTCTCATCTCGTGAGCTAAGTGTATTGTCACATCCCTAGTGTCGTTAAGCGGTGATATAGCTCATAATTTTCCAAGTGTATGATATAGCTTTCATTCTTCGGGTCAACCATATATTCATGAAAAAAAAATCAGTTTGAATAAAGAAAGCAATAACTTTGCCATAGTATCCTTTCAAATGTTAAAGTTGCCACAGTCATTGCATGCTTTGCATGTGCTGCCCCCGCCCCCGGAAAAAAGTTCAGGCTCAGGATTTTTTTCTTTTTGCTTTAACCTCTGTGGCTGATAAAGATGTTGCTGTAATATGATGTGTGACTGTGTCTCCTCTCTTGAATGTAGTCATTCAGTGTGAGCTCGATAAGGATCTGTGTTTGTTTGTGTTTGTGTTTAGCTGATAAGAAGATGATGGTGCCGTCCTCCACTGCTGGCGGCCAGCAGTTATACTCTCAAGGCAGCCCGTTCCAGCCCGGACACTCCGGCAAGAGCTTCAGGTGTGGACAAACATACTTCACATGAAAGTAGAAACACAGTCTGCTCATTTGATTGCTTTAATGCAGAATATACAACTCCAGTCGCACCAATACCACAGTTTTTACATGCAACATCGCAAAAAAAATTACTGATACAATATTGTTTAAAACTTTTTGTTGAGTCGTTTTAATACTTTTATTCAGCAAGGATGCATTAAATTGATCAATTTGCATTGATCAAGTGAGAGTAAAGACTTATAAATATTAATTCAAATAAATTCTGTTATTTTAAACTTTCTATTCATCAAAGAATCTTAAAAAAATGTATCAGTTTCCTCAAAAAATATTAAGCAGCGCAACTCAAAATCATCATATTAGAATGATTTCTGAAGGATCATGTGACACTGAAGACTGGAGTAATGATGCTGAAAATTCAGAGTTGATCACAGAAATAAATTACAGTTTAATATATATTTAAATAGAGCAATTATAGAATATTTCAGAATATTACTGTTTTTGCAGTTTTTGTACTTTCCTGGAATTATATATATTACAGAATAATGTTAATTATGGCTGTCTACAAAATATAACTTTGGTGTGAATGGTAGGTGAATTGAGAATATTTATTAGTCACAAATATTTCTTGCTGGCCATAAAACTATTTGTGCCATTATTGCATTAAATGCTTATGCTGTGTATGCTTTTGAAGAAGAAATTTGACAGAGAAAATGTAGTTCATTTTCCCGTCACTCACATCATACTTTACCAAAATGTCGAGGCCTGTCATGGTTTAGGGACTTACTTTAAGCTAGTTGCTTA